TATCAGTTTACACTCCACCTGTTTGTGTGTTTAAAAGCTGCTATGCCTTGAGGTACTTATTGAATTTAGTTTTGTGAGTAATTCCTGTGTGAATTTTCTTTCAAAAGTAACAAGCAGGATAAAACACATTGCCATTTTATTATGTGACACTTAATTTTGAATTTAGTTTTGTAAGTACAGACTGCTATTAATTTCATAATTTTCTTTAAAAAGTAAAATATTCAGTGCTGGAAATAGTGAGATAAAACACATTTTGTTTTCTGACAGAGGATGACTAAAACTAATAAGCTAGTAAGATGAACAACAGCTTCAATTTAAGGTTGTCTTAGAAAAACAGTTCCTGATTTTGTTGAACAATGATTGAATAGTAGGATAAATGTCATTTTAGATGAGATTCTGTCACACTCCTTATCTGTTATTTTTTATTTCTATCATCCATTTGTAGCTTGTACATTATTTACAAAAGGTCCACTTTACCACACCATTTGGTGATGAAGTCTCATTTGATGAGAATGGTGATGCCTTACCAATATATGATATTGTCAACTGGCTGTGGCTCCCTGATGGAAGAACTAAAGTTGAGAATGTGGGTGAGGTTAAGAGGTCAGACTCCAAAGTTGAAGAACTCACAATTGATGAAGACAAAATCTCCTGGAACTTTGCATTTAAAGAGGTAATTTCAGTTTTTTCAGACAACTTTCCCTTTTTTGGACTAATTCTTCGTATGTAATTCAAATTTAATTGTCTCCCTACAGCCACCCCGGTCAGTGTGCAGTGAGAACTGTCCTCCAGGAACCCGCATGGCCAGAAAGAAAGGGGAACCTGTGTGCTGTTTTGACTGCATTCCTTGTTCTGAGGGAAAGATCAGCAATAAAACTGGTTGGTGTTCGTTTGTGGTCAATATTTTTTGTTTTACTGTAAAGCAAGAATGTACTTCACCATCTTCCCTTTTTCTCAGACTCCATGGAGTGCAGCAGTTGTCCAGAGGACTTCTGGTCTGGCCCTCAGCGTGACCAATGTGTTCCTAAGAAAACAGAGTTCCTCTCCTACAATGAGCCTCTGGGTATCTGCTTGACAGCTGCCTCATTGCTGGGCACATTTATCTGTGCTGTTGTCCTGGGGATCTTTATCCATCATCGCAGCACACCCATTGTTCGCGCCAATAATTCAGAACTGAAGATTTTTCCTGGCCTCTTGGTGTCACTTAAAAACTGTGTTTTCCTGTGTTCACTGCTGTTTATCGGCCGTCCCAGGCTATGGACATGCCAGCTGAGACATGCAGCATTTGGGATCAGCTTTGTGCTTGCTGTCTCATGTATTCTGGTGAAAACCATGGTAGTTCTGGCTGTGTTCAAGGCTTCCAAGCCAGGAGGTGGAACCAGTCTGAAGTGGTTTGGTGCTATGCAGCAGAGAGGGACAGTTCTGGTTCTTACTTCCATCCAGGCAATAATTTGCACCGCTTGGCTTGTCTCTTCCTCACCAGCTCCTCATAAAAACACTCAATACTACAATGACAAGATCGTTTATGAGTGTGTAGTCGGGTCTACCATTGCTTTTGCAGTGTTACTAGGCTATATTGCCTTACTGGCTATCCTTAGCTTCCTGTTAGCATTTCTGGCAAGGAATCTTCCAGACAACTTCAATGAGGCCAAGTTTATCACTTTCAGCATGCTGATTTTCTGTGCTGTGTGGGTGGCCTTTGTCCCAGCTTATGTCAACTCACCAGGAAAATATGCAGATGCAGTGGAGGTATTTGCCATCCTGGCCTCCAGTTTTGGTCTCTTGGTAGCACTGTTTGGACCCAAATGTTACATAATCCTGCTGAGACCAGAGAGAAACACAAAGAAAGCAATCATGGGTCGAGGACCCACCAACTCATAATAGCAGCAGTTGCATTAAAATTATAAACTAGTCTGAACCAATGTATATTTTCCATTCATTCAGTAGAGTACTGATCTTTAAATGTCAAAATGTCAAATGTCAAATAACTAATCTGTTTTTTTAACTTTGTTTTTACTGTAAGGAATATATTTAGAAGAAACTACAAGCACTCAAGAATTCTTTCTGTGCAACACACTGCCCATGTTCTGCCTGATGACATTCTTGTGGATTTTTCCCTACTCTAAGTCTCAACTACTTTTTCTATATGTCATGTGAAGTTTCCAGCAAAAATGCAGTTAAAATTATCTGTTCATAATCAGATCAACATCATACCAACAGCATTTACACCTTTCACTACAGTTTTTATGTCTGTCTGTAGAATATGTCACAGACATGAAAAAAAGATAAATATATTTTTTGTATCTTTTTCAGATTAAAAGCTCTCTTGTTTTTCTGTGGAAAGAATCCAGTCATACGTTAATAAGGCTTTAACTGTATTTTATTTATCAAACACAAACTCAGTATAGCAAGATTGGGCTGGCAGCAGCTCTGCTGCAGAAACACTCTCTGTGTGGTCAGGGTTAGGGTTAGGGTTAGGCTTAGGCGAACGCGCCACAAATGCCAAAACCAAAAACACAGGAATGATGCAAAACCAAAAACACACAAACACACAAAACAACTGCAAGAGAGAAATGCTTGCAAATCACTCCAACAAAAACGGAGTGCGCCAGGGCCACAGGGGGAATCCGACCTGTTAGGAGTGGACCCAGTTTCTGTGGACCAGACCCGGCAAAAACTTTGGAAAGTAAGAAGAAAGAGAGAGAAAGTTGGCAAATATTATGAAGAAGTAGGGCTAGTTACTAGTAATGTTAGCCGTTGCTAAGCAAAACAATTGCATTTATAAAAAACAGGGCTTGGTGTCTATTGTAAGGAATAATGCCCGACCAGGGTCCATTATCTTCTAATTGTAACTAAATGTTAGACGATAAGAAGGGAGAGGGCGTGGAGGAGGTTACCAAAATGAGACCAACAAACACAGAAAACACAAATCAAACACCCTATAAATTTTAATGAAAAAGTGGAATATTAAAAGAAAGCGTTCTGTATTTAAAATTGATTAGAAATAAAAAATCCCACTCTTTTCTGAGTGAACCTCCGCGCCAATTTAATAATGTCCTTCTTTCCCCTCCAACAGGGGAAGTGGGGAGCTGA